TGGCCTCTTGTGTTCCTCCAGCTCCACACTGTTACCTCAAAAATATCTTCACTCCTCTAATTCTGGCCCTTTGAATTTCCCTCTAGCATTTTTAATTGTTTTATTATTGGTGGTCTTGTCATCAATTCCTAGGCCCTTATTTCTGTAAAACACTTCTCTTTCCAACATTAAGATATGCCCTAAACCTACTTTGACCAAGGCTCTGGTCACCTGATCTAATAGCTGCTTTGTTGGTTCTGAATCATATTTGGTTCCATGATGCTCTTTTGAAGCATCTTGGGACATAATCAGGTTTAATGTGCTTTATGAGGTTGTTGAGAACAAGTGTAATATTCTCAATTTCTTCTTATGAGAACACTTTTACTTGTATGATATATTTAATCCAAGAGTTGTGCCAAAATGCCGAGCTGGGAAAGGAGACGTAAACTAAGTTCAAAGAAATAAAATTTTCAGTAGATTTTAAATTCAATCAATTTTAAAGAGTGAACAAGGGGCAGAATATTCAGCTCTTTTCGCCTGTTTTTCCTTGAATGAAGAGCATGCTGATCTATGTCTAGCTCTATCCACCTAAACCGTCTCCAAATTCTTCAACAGGAGAACTGGATTCACAAGATTTTGCAAAGAATTTAAAATAGAATCTATCTGACAGAATGCTGTATCATGGGTGGCATAAAAGGAATGGTAGATATGAAAAAAAGTAAATATACAATGGGAGAAAATTGCAAATTAGAATGGGGTGAGATCACAGAGGAAAAGCTGGAGTGTGGATTTTACTTTGAATATGTAAGTGAATAAAGAGGTCAGTAATGGGACAATATTTGGCAAGGTTAATGATGACATTAAAAGTACAAGAAAAGTACACAGTGTACAATATTTGGTTATAATTGCTTATGAACAAAGACTTGGTGGCTGAATTCATAGTCATTACTTTTATAGGGTTGCTAGTTAAAATCCTGTAAAGTAGGTTTATTATTCACAAGAATTCCGTGTTCTCAAAGTCTGTTTAATATAAATATGATCTGTAAAATTACATATGAGAGAAAAATCTAGACTCTATTAAACAAACTAAGTACAAATTAAAGAGAAAGGCATTCAATTTTGAGTGATTGAGAAAAGGTGTTCATTGTCTTAAGAAAATGGAGAAAGGCTAATACCTCACATCAGGCAGTGAGGATATATCATTAATTAGAATAACAGAATACAAACTCATTTGGTTTTAAAGGTCTAAAATAGATTAGCTTTTTACCTATTATCTGAAAACTAAAAAGCTCTAAACCAGAGGGTCTTTTTCAAAGAGGATCAGAAGGGACTGTAGACATGGTGAGTTGGGGTGCTTTGGGGGAGAAAAGCTTCACTGTTAGGTCCATTTGGGTCTGTTTGGGTTAAGCAAAGTGTTCTCTTCTTCCTTCCCCCCCCCCCCCCCCCCATTCTGAGCAAACGTATAGTGGGCTTCACTCTAGCCTGATAAATGGAAGTCTTTTGGTGATTCTTTTGTGCCTGCTGCTTCTCCCCTGTGAATAATTACTTATGCACACAAGGTGATTGATAATAGTTAGGTTCAGCCATCACAGGAGGTAAAATCATTCTGAATTATTTAACTGATTCATTAAGCAAGGTGACAAAGGTTTCCTAACATAGTCAGCAGAACAGATCCCAGAAATTTGAGCAGATTTTATTTTAACCCTATTTGCCGAGTTAGAACAAATGATTAGAACTGTGCAAATCTATTTATACCTTGTATTCAAAAACAAAAATATCCCTTGTCTGAAAAACAGTTGGTCCCAAGGCTTTCAGATAAAGGATACCCAACCTGTACTATATCTGGGGAACACTAAGTTATGTTATTGGTTATACAAGATATTAGAAATGTTAATGATTCAGGGAAGAATGCACAACAGGGCATTTTCACTTCTGTACTCTCTGGCCCACAAGTTTCCTGACATTCAATTTAAAAGAAGAAAACCTTCAAGCTGAAAAATGCAAAAGGTCAAAATTTAAGCCAATGGTTAATAGTTAGGCAGTGTAACCTGTTCAGACTAGCATTCAGAAGTTCACTTGTTAGACAATTTCTAATTGAAACAGAAATCTTGCTCTGACAGGTTCACCATACTATTGAATAACTTTACTTCGTGATGATTTAAAGTACACCATAGCACTAGCTCAAGGAAGGCATTTAAAAGCACCAGAACTGTTTAGAAACATAGAAAATAAGTGCAGGAGTAGGCCATTTGGCCCTTTGAGCCTGCACCACCATAAAATATGATCATGGCTGATCATGCAATTCCAGTATCCCACTCCCACTTTCTCTCCATTTTCCTTGATCCCTTTAGCTGCAAAGGCCACATCCAGCTCCCTCTTGAATATATCTAATGAACTGGCCCCAGGGGAGAGAATTCCACAGGCTCACAACTCTTTTGAGTGAAGAAATTTTTCCTCACCTCAGTGCTGAAGGGCTTACTGCTTTATTCTTAGACTGTGACCCCGAGTTCTGGACTTGCCCAACATCAGGTACATTCTTCCCACATCTAGCTTGTACAGTCCCCATCATGATTTTATATGTTTCTACAAGATCCCCTTTCATTTTTCTAAATTCCAGCAAATACAAGTCCAGTCGATCCAGTCTTTTCTCAAATGTCAGTCCTGCCATCCCAGAAATCAGTCTGGTCAGAGTAGGAAAACTGTGCACCAACACCAGTGAAAAATGCAAGCCTACGTTATTGCAAATTATAAGTCCATTATAACAGTAGTTCAGGTAATGTTTGCAAGTACTAAATCTGAACCAGTACATCTGATGTATTATCTAGAAACAGAATATTGTGCAGGAAGTCTATGGAACCCCAAATATTCTTACTATACAGTCAATGCTGAAATAAAAGCGTCACAATGAATGAATATTTGTATTCATTTAGGAGATGTGGGTGTTACTGGCTAGGTCAGCATTTATTATCCATCCCTAATTAATGAGACAGCAGTCAAAAGTCAACCACATTGTTGTTGATCTGGAGTCATGTACGCCAGACCTGGTAAGGATTAGACTTTCTTTCCTAAAGGACATTGGTGAATCAGATGTATTTTTAACAACCATTTTGTTTTACATGAAATCAAATTTCACTATCTACCATGGAGCGATTTGAACCCATGATCACAGAATCCCGAGAGTGTGGAAACAGGCCTTTCGGCCCAGCAAGTCCACACCAGCCCTCAGAGCATCCCACCCAGACCCACCCCGCTAACCTACACATCCTCAGACAGAATGGGCAACTTAGCATGGCCAATCCACCTAGCCTGCACATCTTTGGACTGTGGGCGGAAACTAGAGCACCTGGAGGAAACCCATGCACACACAGGGAGAATGAGCAAACTCCACACAGACAGTTGCCTAAGGGTGGAATCGAACGCAGGTTCCTGGCGCTGTGAGGCAGCAGTGCTAACCGCTGAGCCACCATGCCGCCCATCCTGTTCCTTCTCCCCTCATCCTCCTCTTCTCCATCCCTTTCAGACCCTCCCACATGCCTCTACTAGCTGTTCTGCTCACCTCCTTCATCTGCTTTCTCCTCTTAACCCTTATTTCCCTTCTCCCAGTCCCTTTCATCCTGCCCCCCACTTCTCCTTTGCTCTTCCACCAAACCTCCATCTATTTATCTTCTTCCCCAAAGCTCCCACCCCACAGCCTGTCATCCCACACTCCCATTATCAAGGACACCAGAAGCTGAAAAGCTGTGCAAGCAAGTATTGTTTCAAAGATATTCAATAGTGG